TATCAGCACTGCACTGTGCAGCCAGAGTCCAATTTAAAACCTGTAACAGAAGGCTCCTGAAATGACTCATTGGTGGATATCTTTCTGAAAATGAATAGACCATTCAGAGTCCTGATTTTAGCAATTAAAAGGTCCGTGCTGTGCCATATACTGTCAAATACAGTCCCTTCAATGCATCCGTGTTGATTAGTTGGGACGAAGCGGAGAGGGAAGAGCTTGATTTTTGTACTGTGGTTTTCTGTGTTTAGCTCCTCATTCTCATGAGCACTACAACACGTCACTGACAGTGTGTGCCATGAAGAGACCTTTCAGCTCAGGTTATATCCTCTTGCATCAAAATAGCAGCAGAGGCTTGAAGCTACTGTGATTTTTCTATCTATTCACCAAGTAAGATCCCAGGAGCCTTATTAGAGCTAATAAAGGAAAATAAGTGCAAGGAAATTATAGTTGGAATCTTTCAGTCCTAAGGGTCTAAGCAATAGTGTCAGATAGAGTTTGCCACCTAGATTCTCTCCCACCAGAGGGAAATAGAAAATTAATGAACAGGTGGGCGCATATCTCCTGATTTTACCACATAGCTGGTGTGAAACAGAATATTCTTCTCTCTTTCTGCATGGATGGGGAATTGATTTCTGTATGTTCTTTAATTCTTTTGAAGTAGTGTTTCTAATCTGGTCCTGGCCACGTTGCTGGTATTGATCCCATGGGAGGCTGTCCTGTGAAACAGTGGCAAGCAATGACTGAAGGATTGTGCTTTTGAGGGAAGGAAAGAGTATGAGGATTTGTGTTCAAAATGTATCATTTCTCACTTCAGACACTTCAATTACTCCTTTGTGGGTTTGACACCATTGATTGCAGTAGCATAAGTCCTGTCAGCTGTAATGAAATACGATTTGGGCCTCTATCAGCAATTTGTTGTGCGTGTGTGTATGTAGCTGATTGACTGACAGTTACATTGCTTATGCTTCAGAGACAGCAAATTCGTGAAATTGGGTTTGTCTGAATTGCTGTTTTGAGTCTACTGCTTACGTGGAAAAGAATATGTTTAATGTTAATGTACATTGTTATGTTCCAGGTCTGGTTACTATAGGAACTCACTGCTCTGCTCTGTAACGAGTAAATCTTAAATTGTAGCTTGGGAGGGCGCATCTTCAGATTCTTGTGTGTAACAAAGCTTCTGCGTGTTCTGTTTTCATAGCAGGTCTCTCTCATTTTAAGTATGAAAACACTCTGAATAACAGGACCTGATGCTACTCTGATACTTCTTTCATAGGATTTACAAATTAGGTTAGCAGGAAGAGCAAAAAGAGTTTCACAGCAGACAGTATTGTCACCTGCAAGATGGCTGAACTTTCAAAAGCAAGATCAAAGTTGTATTTATGCTCTCCTTTCATTATTTATGAATAATGAGAACAAAAAGGTAATCTGTTCTGGTTTTAATACTTGCCTCCAGAGGACGTTTCTGACTGAGTACTGTTTGTGTGGCCAACACTGCTGAATAGTTATGTCTTTCAGAATGATTTTCTAGGCATCACTCCACAGCAGGGTAGTTTGGGGCTATTCCTAACACCCTGTGCAAGTATGGCTGGGTAGCTTTCCACTGTGGCAGAATTGTATTCCTTTAGCAATATAAACCAGCAGGTTAATAAGCCAAAATTGTGCAAGGTGAACCCTGTAAGTATAGCCAAGGCATAGGAGGTTAGCAGCTAAGGTATTTATTGTGGCAGCTAGTCGTGTTTACTACTAGTAAAGTCAAGTCCCAGGTCAGGATGGAAAGAGTGTACTTGTTTGTTTACTCACTGCTAAGGAAAAAAAAAAGAAAAAAAAAAGGAAAAAGGAATGAGAGCTTTCTATTTGTTTCTTTGTTATGTTAAAAAAAACTTTCTGTTGCAAGACAGTAAGATGAGCAAATGGTTCTTGCACCTGTCACATTATCATCAGCAATTACTGCAGTGCTTAGTGCTTTTCTGCCACCAACAGAAGTCTTTTTGATCCTTGTCATGTCGGGGATTACAGTGTTCTTATGTGGATGATACAATTAAAGCCACAAGATTTAGTGCTCTAATTCTATTTTGTTGGCAATAAAAGGAGAGAAGTATGAAACGTATGGTTGGGTTTCTGTTTTTATTTTACTGACCAGCAAAAATATTGTGTATATAAAACTAACAATGACAGAGTTTGTTTAAACTCCTCAAGCCATTCCTTTAGTAACTGGATTAAAGGCTACTATTTCATATAAAGGAATCTTATTAATAGAAAAGTAGCAAATACATTTCACTTCTTCATTTACAAGCCTTGACATCTGAGAAGGCCGTACCTTATCTATTTCTGCTTGTTTCTTTCAGTACAAATATTTTCTAGTTTTAGATATGTCATTAATGTGATGTAATGTCAAAAAGACTTTTTGACAAGCATGTCAAAAATGCTCTTTATAATAATTGTGTGTGTGGGATGAAATATAGTGGTTGATAAGAGTCTGAATTTCATTTTTAGCCTTTCTGGTATTACTCTGTTGAACCTGAGATGAATTGCCAAATTGGATTTTTTCAAAGTGGGGGACATTTGTGAGCATAAGTACAATTTCCAAGTTCTAAACTGGCATGTGACAGTGAGATTAAAATCTGAGCTCGTGACTCAACTCAGTGGAGAGAAGTGAGACCTGCTGAAGGGTGGTTAATTCAGATCCTTTTAGGATGAGACAAACTGCCATGGGAGCTGAGAATGGCTGGCACACACCAGTGTGAAGGTGAGCATCATGCATTTGTGGCTCCACAGGATTTCTTACGCACTCTGGGTCTCGGCAGAGCTTTAGGCAGTATCTACTCAGCCACATGGAAAATGATTCCTCTGAAAATTCAGCCTTGATATTAAAAAAATAAATAAATAAACTGCTGCTCCTCCAAAATTTATACATACTTAAAAACTGTTTTTGATTATAGCCTTGTTGGGCTTTAATTTCTCTATGAAATTAAAGGGTTTATGAGGTCTGTATGTTTTAAGTACTAAAAAACGTTTTTTTGGTGGACAGTGCAGGAAGCAAAATCCTGTTTTCTGATCATCTAACCAGTCTTGCTGCAATCTGTGGAATTTAACAATTTTCCTTGCTTCAAGTGTTGATCCCTTCCATTTACCTGACTGACCTTTCATTTACCTGACTACACACCTCAATGTGCTTGCTCTGTGGGAAAATTGGTAAATTGGTCAACTATGAAAAGAGAGTAATTTGATTTACCTGAAATGCGCAACAGTGTAATAAAAAATGCATTACTTCTGTCCAACTGGATAAGCCTCAAATGGTACTGAAATTATGGAGAAGATTATTCTGGGAGTTATTGAAAAACACCTAAAAGGCAATGCAATTATTTGTCACAACCAACACGGGTTCGAAAGGGGAAAGTCTTGCTTAACAAACTTAATCTCCTTTTGAGACAAGACTACCAACCTAGTTGACCAAGGTGACCAGTTGTTGTAATCTTTTTGGATTCAGCAAATCTTTCAATACTGTTTCTCACAGTATCCTTCTGGACAAAATGCCCAGCATACAGCTAGGCAAAGGCATGATGCAATGGGTAAGCAGCCAGCTGATGGGTCAGGCCCAAAGGGTTGTAATAAATGGGTTACATGAGGATGGTGTCCAGTCTCTAGTTAGATCATGTGGGGCTAGTTTTCTTCAGTGTTTTCATCAATGACTTGGATAAAGGACTATCCTAAGTCTGTTGACAGTGCTGAACTGGGAGAACCAATTGACTCCCTTAAGCGCAGAAAGGTCTTGCAGAGATCTTGGCAAATCAGAGGGCTGGGTAATCACCAACCACGTGAAGTTTAAGAAGAGCAGTGTTGGGTTTTGCACCTGTGTTGGGGGAACCTTGGATACATGTACAGACTGGGGGACGAGAGCAGCCCCAAGGAAGGAATCTGGGGGTGGTGGACAATGGCAAGTTGAACATGAGCCAGCAGGGACCGACTGCCCCTGGGGGGCACCAGGCCCAGCGCTGCAACCAGGCCAGGGAGGGGCTGTCCTCCCTGCTCTGCGCTGTGCGGCCTCACCTCCAGCACTGGGTGTAAGGACATAAAGCTGTTAGAGAGCATCCAAAGGAGGGCCACAAAGATGGGGAAGGGTTGATACAGAGAGGGAGCAGCATGGAGCTGTGCCAGGGGAGGGTCAGCGGGTGAAGGAAAGGCTTTGCCCCAGAGGCGGTGGGCATGGCACAGACTGCCCAGGGCAGTGGGCACAGCCCCAGTGCTGGAGCTCAGAGAGATATATACAGCTAATACATGTAAAATACAAAATTAATACATTAGAAAGAATTGCTGAAGAAATAAAATGTCAGGGTTTTATCCTGACTCTAGTGACTTAAGAATGCTGATCTCTTCTGTTTTAGAAGAGCAAACATAGAGCTTTTAAATGTGTTCTTTATTTGTGTGAGAAGAATAGATACCAAGATCTGGTATAATACTTGACCTTGTCAAATCAGGATACCACTGGACCAAGGCCGTAATGTTTGGCTCTGGACCACATCTGTGAAGTTGCAGAGGAGGGAATAAAGTCCAGGCAATAATAAGTACATAAAAACAAGAATCCAAACATTAACTTCTTTAGTTGCTGGACTGGACTTAAATCTGGAAGTCTCTGTAGAAAAATTAGGTTGACTGATTTTTCTTTTTGTTGTTTCATGTTTTTCCCTCTAATATTATTTATGGGCTTTTTTTTTTTTTTTTCTTTATGCCTTTTCTCAGAGTTAAATCCAAATATCATCTTTGTTTTGAACCATGCAATTGTGAATTGAAATGTTGCTTGCCTTTGAAGATCATAAAGGGTTTAACACCCCTTCAAAGGCACACTTTCCAAAGTAGGTGGCAACAATAATATCAGAATAACTGAGAATGCTGAATAAATTGTGGTATAAAAATTACAAGTACTAATCTGTGCACTGCAATTTTTTTTTTTTTTGTCTTTTTCTTTTTTCCTTAAAGCTTTATTATTGCCTTATCTGTCCTAGGTTATTTCCTGTTCCTTAATGCGTCTGAGAGCCCTGTCATCCTGAGCCCCTGGCTGAGAAGCAGCAGTGACCAATGTGTAGTTCAAGTGGCTGTTTATAAGTTTTTCCAGCAAAGTGGAGAATATATTGTTCGGATCCTTCCTATTGATGAAAGCAGCAGTGAGATTTTGACAGAGCAGAATCCAGAAAAACGTGGGTAAGTCCCATCTTCTCAATTGACTCACAGCGTGATTGAGAAGAGACACACAATTGTGTAGTGATAAAGCCACAAAATGCTCACTACACATCTATTAAGGAGAGCAGGACACCACAGTGAGTAGATACTGTGTGGGTCTAAGTCACTGTAGAAACTAGAGTTGCTTATTTAATTATGCAAAGCATCAGTAAACTCCTGGATCCACGTAATGAGTCTCTGTTGGCATAATCTTTATTCTCAGTGCTTGCAAGTAATAATTTGATCTGATTTCTTTTTACTTCTCCTCTACCCAAGTGTGCTGTTAGGCCTAGAATATTAGTCTTTCCAATTTTGTGCATCTGTGTGAATTTTAAGTTTTACCTTGCATTTGTTTTTTTTAAATGGCACCTCTTGTCAGTAAAGCAGTTCATAGCTACTGCCAACAGAGGAAAGCTTTTCATCTTTCAAGGGTGCAACTGTTTGAGCATGTTTTATCATCTTTGTGCAATTAAGATCAATTGTTGATGATGTCTTAATTTGTCAGACTTTCCATTTATCCTTTTAGATTTTAGTTAGCTGAACATAGAACATATTTTTAAACACTAGAGTAGTGGAGTAATTTAGAATTGAATTTGGATTTATATGAGGTTAATGTTGTCCCTGTTGTATACAGATTTTTTTGTTGTTGCTATGGAATGTGCTTTAAGAAGCATAATTTTTACTAAGCATCCCAAATGTTTTTTAGTTTTGATGTGATAAATTAGAGAGTTTCGAGTAGCAAATCCTGCTAGCTTGTGCTTGAAACAAGATGTGATTATCTGATTACTGTCTACAGCAAATTCTGTATTTTCCAGTAACAAAAGAAGAATATGCAGTAAAAACCTGACAGAAGATAACCTAAGTCATAGAAACAGTTTGAATAGCAGTAATTTTCATATAACACATGGCCTATAAAAGTGAGGAGGAGAGCTTGTGTGTGGATCTAAATTGTACTTAGTTCCAGCAATATCATCCAAATTGTAAATTACTGTTGACGTCTGGGGAAAGGTAATTAGGGAAACTGCAGCAGCTGTCTTTTTCCTTAGCTCTTTGAAAATGCTGTGCTGTATGTCACAGCTAATAAATGTACTTTGTGCAAAGTTCCTCCTGCATTGGCAGCAGCACTGCTCCTTGGCATTTGCAGGGGTACTGCTGTGTGTAAAGTGCTTTGCTGTGCTGCACGGAGGAACTCTAGCTCACATCTGCGGGCAGGCAGAGCTCACCAGGAGCACAGGCAAGTGCCAAATGTGAGCAGCCCTAAAGGGAAGAGAAAGATCACTTTAACTACGATAACAAATGCATACCTTTGCCATCTGCTGCAGATAATACAGGCTATTCAGCTGTGCATTGCAGATGGCACCAGAGGCTGTCACCACAGCAAAAGGACTGTGCTTTTAAAGACGGTGGTCTTGGTTATAGCTTTGCTGTCGAAAACGTTTAGAGAAGTACAGTTTGTTCCACAGCAGCATTTCCAGGGCATGTAGGGTGGTATTGTTGATTTGCCTATGGCTTTCACCATGCTGTACAGCTGATTCATTGGTACTCTGGTGCTATAAAACTTTGCAAGTGGTGCAACTGGCCATTTCATTTTTTCCTCTCCACTCTTGTCTCTTCACTGCAAGAATAATAGCTCTTCTGCTCAACAAAGCAGAAAGGCTCTGCTACTGTGCTCACATAAAGGTCACATAATGATAGTTAAGTATCTGCCCATCAGACTGCAGCCACAGATTATAGACTAACATTGTTATCATTTGCCCTTAACCTTAATTCTAGAATTGGTAAGTGCTCCTGTGCCCTCTATTTGGAGTGAGAATAGTTGATTATTTCTGTTAAAAAAAAGCATGCAGATCTCACTTCTGTAAAAACGTCTTCTTTAGGTAGGAAGCAAGAACAACTGATCAGAAGTCAATAATAATTCAACAAAGTTCTTAAATAAACTAGTAATCCTATAGCAGGTATTCCTTTTAATATTTTGTGTTGGAAATTGCAAACAAAAAAAAAAATCATATTGTCTTATAATATATTCTTTGACTACTCTATCCCAACTTTTTTAAAGCTCGGAATGGAAGATAGTTGGTTTCCTCAGTGATGATCTTGTGCTATAAATGGAAACAGCTTGGAGTTTTACAGGTGACACTTCTTTGCTTCAGTGCACTTTACGAACTCTTTTGCAAATAAGAGATGGAAAGTATTTGCAGTTCAGGGTAACCTGTATCAGCAGTTGTGACTCTATGCCACTGCTCAAAATCAGGCTTATAGGAGAAAAAGAATGCTTTATTGAAACAAATGCTCTTCAAGAATGCAGTGTATTAATTCCAGAGTGGATTTTCTCATGTCTTGAGCTATTCCAAGTGTCAGTACTTTTTTTCCCTTCTTTTTTTTTTTTTCTTCTAAACTCCATAACCTGAATTACATGTATTAATATCTTACAAGGTGTTCACAGTTCACGTACATTCACAAGAGAAAAATGTAGATGCTGTCAGGTAATACTATTTCATTTGGTATGAAAGCAACCAAGCAAAGGTTTTGGTTGGCAGCATGTGAAAGTAATTTTAAGTAAAATATGTGTACAGCCATGAAATTTTATTAGCAACAGTATAGCACCAAATATTTGTTACCAGGATTCAATCATGCTGTGCTTGTGAGCAAAAGACATGTTTTCATTTGGGCAGATACTCAGTATACATTAAGAGTCCAAGGCAGAGCTAGTAATGTTCTGTTTGTTCCTATGGTCTCATTCAGCCTAGAAAAAAAGTAGCCCGGGCCCATGGACTAGAGAAGTAATAATTCCATAGTAAAGCCTAGGCCTTACAGAAATTGTTATTTAGAAGGTGCATAATTGCTTTATTTTCTTACTTGACATATTTCAATGCCTCTGATCTATTCTGCATAGGAAGAAAACTGGGTAATTTAAGACATGTTACATAGCAGTAAGATAGGGCAGATGGAGCAGACACCAGGAACAGTATGCCAGAAGTGATAACTGCAAATGGTTCCTGACTGATGGAATACCAGAGTCTGGCAAGGGGATTCTTGGTTTGTATTATACAGAAACTTTGCCAAATAGAATAATAACTTCTCTGCATAATATTTGTAACAATCATTACCATTCAAAAGATGATTATCTCTGTTTATCAGATCAGCAGAATAATGTAGCTTTTTTATTTTTGTTTTTCTTTAAAGATTAAGAGAAATATATTTTACTCTGAATTTAATCTTACTGGTTTTGGCCAACCTTTGGATGGACCTTTGCTAAGCCATCTGCAGAACTCCATGAGGAGCACTATGAGGAACAACATATTGCTATATTCACTTAGATTTGTTGCATGGTAGAGTTTCTAGCTGATCTGACTTGATATGGGTAGTCTCTTCTGCCTTCCTAAAAGTTCTGTTGTCTTTCACAAGCCACCTGCAGACGATTGAGGCAGAGAATCCATTCAGTGCTATCAATTCTTTCTAATGGCAAAAAAGTTGTTATAATTTCTGCCATGGAGCACAGCACCTTCTGATTTATCCCAAATGCCACTAGATGCAGGTATGCTCTTTTGCTGTTTTCCTGCTCCCACATTCATTTCTTGTTGCTATTTAATGGATTGCATTTTTGTGTTACTGTAGTTGAGGAGACAGAAGGTACGTGTACGTATCATATTGGTTACTTAGGAAAGTAGAGTTAATATAGCAATTTGAATGTTGACCAGGAGCTCCTTGGTGCTTGTCAGGCTGTCGCTGTGGCCACTGATCTCATTTCACCTGTTAATTATTTTTCCCATCTGTTAAATCTGTAATTATGTATCTGTAATTATGAAGTTACTGCGGTTGTAAATGTACTTAATGGAGTGGTGAAAACACAGAAGAAATTTTTTCAACAAGGTCAGAGTTTGTAACACAGGAGTGATTTTATTTATTTTGACCTGTTTATTTCAGATAAGCTAGAGCTGGGCAGGTTACAAAAATAGCATCATGCATTTTAATTATCATTGTTGGTTTACATCTCTACAGTACTCTTAGTGGTAAACTGAAAGAAGCAATCATATTACATACTGTTCATCAAACAGAACTTCTTAATAAGTACATAGCAAATGACGACATAACTTCAATTTGGTCATTCATTACAGAAAATTATTACTAATTCCATAAGCATGTTTTTGCCCCAAATACTAGATCACACATAGATCTTGATACTGTTCCCATGAAGGTAATCTAGGCCTCCCTGAAAAATGGAGAGAGTGAAGATCCTCAGATCAGCTATCTGATTAGGAATACCAGGATGTTACACTTGTTGAAATGTCAACCTTTTGAAGTGGGCTAGATAGTTACATGGGCCTCTCATAGTACAGACCCATGTTGAAGCAGTTCTTAAAGAGCTGCAGCCTGTGGGACACCTACGAGTGTAGGTTCAGGGACAGCATTCTGTGGGAGAGTCCTTGCTCTGGAGCAGGAAAAGGGAGTGACCGGGATAGAATGGCAGAGATGGAGCGTTAGGGACTGAGCATGACCTTCATTCCCCTGCCCCACGTGGAGGGAACAGGTAGAAGGGTGTGGGAGGGAGGAGATAAAAGAGGATGGATGAAGGTTGAAGGTGGTTTTAGTTTGCTTTTAGTTTCTCATTCCTCTAGTCCTTTAGTAATAGGCAATAAATTATACTAATTTCCCTGAGCTGTGTGTTTTGTCCATGACAGTAACTGGTAAATGATCTCCCTGTCCTTATCTCAACTCTTGAGCCCTTTTCTATTGTATTTTCGGTCCTGTTTTTCCTTTGTGGAAGGGGAATGAGAGAGTGGTACAGGTGCAGTGTAACTGTCCATCAGGGTGAAATCACAGCAGTACTGAACTGTATGTCTTTTGACTTCAGGAGACTTATGGAAGCTGTCTGTGATTTTTGAGCTGAGTAGGATCTCTAGACTAGTCTAGAGCCGTAACCATTTTTAAGATTCATCTGAAGACTTTTTTGTAAATACATGAAGTAAAAGATATCTCTGAAA